GCTGAATTACGCCAAGGCATGTGTTGGCCGAGCCTTGGTTAGTTTAGTGGCGGCCGAGGATGACCATCGCCGAGTTGCGTCGCAGCTGGAAGGAAAGAAGGATATCATTGCTACTCGCGACGCGGTGATTGTCCAGTTGAAGGAGGAGTCCACAAAGATGGAGGCCGATTTGAAGGGCCAGATTGCTGAGAAGGCTGCCGAGTTGGAGAAAGCAAAGGTGGAGACGTCGGCGCTGTCCGAGGAGAAGAAGACTTTTGAGGCCGAAGTGGCCGATCTCAGAGCACGTCTTGCCGTGGTGGAGCAGCATTTCAAGATTTCTGAGGCTAAGCTGGTGGAAACTGAGAGGGCCTTATCAGAGGAGAAAGCCAATCATGAAGCAGCTCGGAAAGAGTGCGTTGAGACTCGCGAACTTGTGGGTCGGCAGCACGACGCTCATCAGGCCGATATAGCCAAGCTTGAGAAGGAGAAATCTGATTATGGAGAGTTCATGTATGAGAATGGATTTCAGGCCGGGAAAGATTCGGTTATCGTGGAACCGAAGTCCGGGGAAAATGCCGAGGTAGAAGTTAATGAGGCCGGTGAAGAGGATGAAGCCGGTGGTCCCGACCTCGAGATTGAGATGAACACATGTCTGAACTTGAGGTGGATCATCGAACGCTACGATGCCGGCTACTACAATATCGATGACCTCCGCTTGTTTCTTTTTCATAAGCTGGAGAAATATGGGTTTGATTCGGAAATAAAAGGAATGCATGTGGCGGCTGATGAAGATGAGCGAGAATTTTGTGTATGGATGCTCCGCCGTTCAGAAGAGGTAAACCCCGACTTGCCATCGCTCTCCGAAGATAGGGCGGCTCTCCTCCGGCGTGCCTATGTCAATATGATTTTGGAGGAGGAGAAAGAAAAAAGGAAGGAGTTGGCTGATGTGTATCTTTCCACTCTCGCCGAGGTAGAAGTTGAACAACACTTTGATGACATGACTCCGGAACAGATTCGGGACAGGGTCCGAGCCTTCATTGATGAAAAAGCTAAGTCGGCCGACCAGGAGGTGGAATTTGTTAAGACCGTCACGCCGGCTGAGGATGAGGCGAGGAGGTTGTCTGATCCTCGTGACGAGTTCATTCCGGTGCCCGATGGGGCCATTG